CAGATTCATCGTAGTGTGGAATGAATTTGTCCGTTTAGCCGAATGCCAGAATTTAGAAATCTCCCGAGAATTCTAGCGCTTGGGCATCTTGCTGCACCGTATAGGGCTTGTTTGGCCGTAACATTTTATAGAGTAGATATGATATTATCAGATCCTGAATTCACCCATCTTTGTTCAGAAGGGATTTTTTCCCGATTGCCAGATTAAATCCCCATAGAAGAATCATATCCAGAACCTGACTTCCAGAAATGAAAGGTAATATTCTTGGATTCTTGCTGTTGTCTCTCTCGCACATTGCTGATTTGGGGTGCCCACGCGCATGGTTTTTCTCCTCTCTCGTGTAGTCTAGAATCAATCGAGTCGCGAACCTAAGTCTCATTGCCCGGATGGCGAGCAAGGCTAAGTGTGGGCGACTGCTCATCAGCACTCAAGTCCTCGGAGCTGCAGAGTTCCAGAGCTCCTGAGGGTTGTATCAGCAACCAATTGTCCACGAGGCTTGTCATCTTCAAGCCCGCGCAGACAATCGTGGACTCAGAGAAGAAGAGACTTCGGCTGACGCCGCCAGCGGCTCCCAGCCAGCTTGGGTAACCTTCTGGCGTGGAGAAGGCCTCCTCGAAGGCGAGCACCATGCCCTTGAAACCGCCAAGACGCTGCCAAAGCACCATGACTTGCAATGCGTTCTGGGCCTTGCGCTGTTGTTAAACACTTATCCTCAAGATTCCGCATGTGAGTACCCACGTTGAGGTTGTCTTTGCATGATTGTGCACCTTAACTACATAGACCATAGACTGGCTCAGACCTGCGAGCTCTACAATTTTGCTGCAGCCGGGGTGCCAATGGACGTGGCATCATGTTGAGGATGTCGTGCGCGATGAGGATCTCCGGGTCGGCCAGCAAGCCCCTGGCGATGTCGAACAAAGCCTTCTCTGCCGGTTGCAGCATCTCCTCGGCCACGGAGTTGGAGGACAAAATCGTGAGGTTCGAGGCGAAACATCTCTCTGCGAAGCGCTCGCAGTGCTCCTCGAAGCGACGAAGGCGCTTGGAGCTTGAAGTAGTGTTGTCCAGGGCACTGTTCAGAGACTTCAGGAGCTCCAAAGGGTTGGCGCCATGTTTGTAAGATGGCGACAGCTTCACCCCGCCAGGCGCCGGAATGGGAATCCCCAGCACTGCCACCAAGGCAACCACATCACTGGCTCGGACCCATGCAGCGGCGTTCGAGAGCAGATTCTCCATCACAGTGCCCGTGGCGAGGCCCACTGTAGGCTTGAGAAGTAGAACCTTCGCACAGCCCAAGTTGTTCCGGGCACTTGACGCACGAAGTCCCCCCAAAACTTCACAGGCACGTCGTCGCAATGAGCTTGCATCACTGTAAGTTCGAATGCCGTAGCAGTGTCCCAACGGCACCTCGAGAGTGGGTCCTGCTCCGGACTCAGCTGCTACCAAATAGAAGTCAGAAGAAGAGAGCTTCATGACAAATGTCCCTGAAATGAGCGGATGCTCGTCCAGAGGGAAAGATTGCAAAGACCTCGACCATCCCTTGGGAGCATTTGCCAACTGGCACAACTCTTCCACAAGCATTCCTGCGTAGACAAGCCCATCCCATGCTTCGATAAGCATGTACATCACATCGATGATGATGCTGTACAAGCTCAAGAAAACTGTGAACCGTCCCAGGGTCATCTCCCCTTTTCCAGAATGCAGGCAGTCGATGGCGGCGTAGCCGCCAAAGAGAATTCCAAAGACCTTTGTGAGCTCGCCAAAGTATCTTGCAACCACTTGCGTGTCGCCTTTGTAAACCAGAAAATTGCCCAGATGCAGGCAGGCATTGGAGCATGCGTCATCAAACGCGCGTCTCACATGTTGCACAGGATAGGCGGCGTCATAGGACCGCAGCAAGTCTCTGCAATGGAGGAGGTCTAACATGGCTCCGTTCTTCTCAATATCCGCTTCCCGTGCCCGGACTGCAAGGTAATTGAAGGATTGGCGCCTCATCCACAATCCCACCAAGACAGTCCCATGCAATGGGACCAGAATCCAAATCAACGGCTGGATCGTTTCCAAGGAAGGGGCTTCCCCTTTCAACATTGGGAGGAAGAGGGCCATAAGAATGGACAGCACGATTGTGTTAAAGCAATGTGCCAGCTCAAAAAACGGCTTGTACCCGTACGTGACGCTGTCCGGTACAGTATCAGACAGCATGTGCAAGAACTTGCCCATTTCAATGGTGTCATCGGTAGATTGAAGATACTGATGTATGAGCATCTCTTGCAAGAAGCATGTTGAGGAAAGGCTTCCAGTCTCAGTGTATTGCACATGGCTCGCAAAGCGGTCAATGCAAATCAAAATCAGCTTTGAGAAGACGATCAGAGGCAGGCGTTGGCAGGCTTCCGCAAACCCTGTCTTTGTTAGGCAGAAGTCGTACAAGGCATAGTCCAAGAGAAGGGTGTTGAGCACTACTTTGTGAAAGTCGAGCCACAGGATGGACGCAAGGACGTACCACAGCTTCGCACCCCTTCTCATCAAGAGGTACATGGCAAAGGCCCATACCAACTTCAGACGAAGCCATCTTCTTCCTTTGTCCTGGACAGGGTCCGTTACGATGAGGCTACCTTCTCCGACTTAAATCTCGAACGGCATGGGCAAAGCCTTCACACAGCTCACACGGCCTCGACCATCCCCAAAAATAGAAAGGACACGAACAACTGGTCATCCCGAGCGGAACCGAAAAGACTGCCAAACAAAAAGGTGCAAGGACCACACGAAAGCAACGCGATCGTGGTAATCTGCCTAGACGACTCGGTGTTCAACTTGGTTCCAAGGGTGCACATCTTCTTTAATTTTTTCTGCAACTGAAATGCAACTGAAGCCTAAGCCTAAGCCCTTCGGTCCTGCGAGCCGATGGGGTTACGCACTTCATCGGGCGCTCCAGGGGGCCAAAGTCCTTCTGGAAGCAGCCGGACTCTGCAGAAAGATGAGCTGCCCATGGTGGCATTCTCCGCAGGGAGGGCCTCCACATGAACCACGAAGAAGCCACGTAGGTTGCATGGACTCTCCAGGATCTCCACATCGAAGCTTGTGCTCCAGGCGCCCGCCGGGAAAGTCACCTTTTGCTTGGTTGCCGTGTAGCTGTTGCCCGCCAGGGCGGTCCCGTCCACTGTCGCCAGTTCCGCTGAGACTGCCGCGGAGAGATTTCCCACGCGTAGAAGAACCACATGGGCGACTCGGGCGCTGGCCTCGACCGTCAGGGTGTGCTGCGCGAAGAAGATCACGCAGCCATCCGGGCTGGGCATGAAGCCCCGTGGACCTGCGGACAATTCCTCCACTTCCCAAGGAGAGGCACCCTCCTCCCCCTCCTCCCCCTCCTGTTGTCGATCTCGATCGAGGTCGCGCTCTGACAAGAAGTGATTCTTCGGTCGGAACATGCTGTACTCGTCCATCTGGTGGTGCAAGACGGAAGACACGGACTCCCGCTTGTCAACCTCCGGGTCCTTGTGGCGCCGGCACAGGAAGAATCTCACGAGCTCGGCCATGATAGTCGGCCGCTCTGCCGCAAAGCAGGTGCAGAAGGCCTCCCAAATCACAATGATGCCGACCTCGTGTCAGCGTCAGAAAGCTACAAGAAGAGATCACTTGCTTAGCAAACCTTCACAAAAAAGCTGTCGCCAGTTGTTGAATTGAGGGCAGAGAATACTCAAGTACTTGGGAGGAGGCTGTCTGATCGCCTTTCATGCTCTTTCTGCATAGGCCTCACTCTTCACATTCAAGTCGAGGCGTTGTCCCGCTTTGTAGCTACGGTATGTTACGGTGAAAGGCCTCCCTATCGCTCTGGTATCGCTTTTGACAATGCTGCGGTAAGGTGCAATGTGGTTCAATTCCTTTTCTCTCCTCTCGGTGGCATTGCAGGAGCATAGGGCTTCCTAGGCTGCAAAGATCTTCAACGTTCAACAGGACATCTGCATCCAAACTATCTTGAAACACACAAAAGGCCCTCGGCTGGCGTCTTGTCCGTGGCTCCAACTCCAGCACGTGGCCGCATCGTCCGTCGCATTAGCCATGATTAGTCTCTCTCTCCAAAACAGACTTCATGCAAGCAGGAGACACCCACCAGGATGGCCACACCCTTGGAGGCTCTTTGGGGCTGCGATGAAAAGCCAGCAAAGCAGCTGGACCAGAAGACCTGCAGCAGCGTTGGCAAGGTCAGCCAGGTATATGCAGTGGCAACATCTTGAATGTCACGCGTGCCAAGTGCTGATTAGGTAGAGCCTCTGTCTGTTACCACCGAGGGCCTCCCATTTTCAACATAATAAGAAACCTGGTCCTGAGACCTCAGAGCTCATTAAACGTAATCACGCTGGCAAAGCACACAGCGCATTTAAGAATGAGCATGTGTTTCCCCAGACATATGCATTCTTGTGTGTGTGTGTGTGTTGTCTGTTGTTGATGAGGACGGGTTCAGCTTACCACATCATACCCAGTACCGTCCTTAGAGAGACTCAGCAACAAATAAAGTCCGAAAGAACCGTCCCCCCATCAAGCAGCGGCGGGAGGCTGAGTGAATGCAGCACACCAGCGACAGCGCCACCCAAGCTCGCCGGCGAACGAAGGGGCGCCTCCATGCTCTGCCCATGGCGGAAAAATGGAGGGGGCGAGAGTATGGTATGGTAACTTTGCACACTCTGCCCTGAGCCGAAAGCGGATCTCAGCAGAAGTCAGGAGCATGGACGAAGAAAGTTGAAAAGCATACGCCAAGATCAGCAAAAAGGCATAAACGGACCACGCGCCGCCCTTGGCTGTTGCTGCTTGGTGAACTGTGATATCACAGCGCTTGGCGAAAGACTTCAGTACACGTCACATTGTGTCATTGTGTGTTCTCGATGCGCATTGGCGCATCGGTTACTTCCCTCCGCTGGCGAATCTCGATTTGCAATGTGGGAAAACAGTCATGCCTCGTGGTGTCATGCAACTCGTCCAGATATTGAAGCGATGACTGGCATGTGATCTGACTTTGCTGAGTGCTTTCGGAGTTTGGAAATGCGCACGAAATTTCGCTGGCAAGAAACACATTTTTATAAGCAAACAGAACACACGCCATTGACAAAGACCGGGGCATAGAACCGCCATCAATAAACAACGAAAGCCTACAGCATTCTCGATTCGCGTGGTAGGTTGCGATCTGCACGAAGAACATGCTCTTGTGACTAACTCCTGGTGCGAGAATAATTCAAGACCATACGAAGCTCTGCTTGCAATCTTGTCAGTTGCCGTGCAAATCCTGCTCCTCCGCGTAACACTATTACACACAACGCTTAGTCTACACTTACCCTCGTTTCGGTGCTTGTGACACCACGCACCTTCAAGCCTGAATGTTTAACATGCTTTCTATGTCAGGTGCCGGGGCCTCAGACGTTGTGCACTCCGCTGCTTTGGGGTCAAAGACCCAGGGCTTAGGCGGGCGCTGAAGGCGTCGAACTCGCCCCTGAGGGCGAGCTACCGCCGCACATGCATGGGCTCTGGGTTAAAAACAGCATTCATTGTGACACCACTCCGCAGCGAATATGGCTGAACTCGGCTCGCGCTTTGCCACCAGAAGTTAGGTGGTGTTGGACCTCAATGATTCTCCTTGCCCAGGTTAGGTTCCTTACACGCATGACTGCACAAGGACGCACGAGTTTTGTGACCATCATCGGCTTCTGCTCTTGATGTCGTCTTGAAGCCTCGCTGTTTCCCCTAGCCGCAGCCGCCCTTAAGCCTACGCATCGCCAGAATCGTGCTGCGTTTGATAAAGCTACCCAGCGATACTAAAGCTGCGAAAACATTGACGCCAAGTCTGTAGCGGCATAGGCCATAGCCTCTCCTGCACTACTGGTCGTATTGAATTCTGACAAAGGCTAATGCAGCAACACCTCGGTTCTTGCTTACAAATGCTCCGCTTTAGCTCCCTCCTACAGTCTTATCATAGTTCTAAACTGTGACACCACAGACAATGACGAGAAAAAAAGAATGTCAACTGCCTTGGGCGGAGGGTAACTTGGACTGTCAGACCCCGAAGAGGGGCGTGGCTGGGATCCGGGTGGATTTGGGGTGGGGTGTGTGGGGTCAACATAATAAATACGAAGACTGGCTGAAGAAGCGCGCAGCGCCATTTCATCTTCGAAGCACGTGGCCAGGACCTCCGAGACTTAGGCGTGCCTGGGATCCCGAATCTTCCGAAATCTCTAGCTCTCCTTTGTGCCGGCTGTAGTGGCTCAAAGCTTGGAAAAGAACGATCTTGAATGATGCCTCCATATGCCTTCTCCTCCTTCTCCGAGCCCTTTCCTGGCCAGTTTGCCAGTTTGCAGGTTTTTCAGACGCGGTCTCGGATGGTTCAGGTTTCAGGGTGGGAAGTAGGATGCGCGTCTCTGTCGCGGCTCGGAGAACTTAAGGCTCAGGCAAACATCCACACGGTCCCCGCTCCTTCTCTTGCGATCTCTTGCGAGGGTGCGACATGGTTTCCATGAGCACTCTGAAAACCAGAACGGAACAAGATGAACTCACTTCGACCAGTTGTTGGATGGTTCAGTATGGTTCAGCTTCTGTTCAGCTGCTTCGATTCGCAGGATTGAGGATCAATTTGGGTTCATGCCTTTGTCAAGAGGAGCGTCGCAAGAATCTGGTCGTTTTGAGTTTTGGCCGCGTTGTGGCAGTTGCCAATTGCGGGGGGCGAAAACAAGGACTTCTGCTTCGCCCCCCCCAAGCAATGAAGGAAAATCATTGATGGTCTTCTTTAAAACTTGCCTCATTGCCTCATGACTTCGCGAAGCACGAGTGGCATTCTTGCCCTTGGGCTCGTTCTATCTCGTTCTTCTTGAATCCCAAACTCAACAGGCCCTACAAGAACTATCTGCAAAGTCTCTGCATCAACAGAGGTGCTAACAGAAACGACTGGTTTACCACCATGCACGAGAGGTAGCTTCATGTTAAAAAAGTGCCAGATGTCGCACCACCAAGTGGCAACATCCCGTTAGACATTCGGTAGCCTACGGACTGCCTACGGAGCATGAATGACGGATCTGTCATGCGGAATCGGTGCCAGTATGGCAACTCTTCAACCCCTCGGTGCTTCGCGGCTTGCCAACCGCTTCGCGGAGGCATCTGTGCTCCAGGGGGGTTTCAGGATGCCAGATGTGAGGCGAACCCCGAAACGTCCCGAAACCATTGACCAGCCAATGTACGGTGAGAACTCTTCCTTTGAGCACAGAGGACCTTTGATGGGGTTGAACCAAACGGTATGCTTGCAGTTAGAGCCCTAGAAGCTGTGATCCCAAAACTTCTAGTAATAGTAGTTGTTTTTGCACCCTTTCCCACCATCTTTCTTTCAACTGCTGGTTCGAGATCTGATCACACCTGGCAGCTGGACCCTCGGCTGTGTCCTGCTTTGGGCAGCATGCCTTTTGTTCGGAGGGCGATGTGACTGAATCCAGCCTCTTATCAGTTGCCTCCGCGTCGGCTTCGTATCAGTTTTCTCGAAAACACGGCTGCACGCGCTGGGGCCTGTGAGAGCACCCGTGGAAAAATTGTTCTTATGTGCTCCTAGTGGCTTGAGGGGCTGGAACTGATGCTAGCATGCACTCTGTAATGCAAATGGAATTGCGAGTCTATGTCCGAAATGCTGGCAATCATGGGCTGAATCCGACGCGCCGAAATGCTGGCCGCATGCTGGTGCGGCTGGAAGCTCAGCCGTTGGGACTCTCACGGAGAAAGCCTTGCAGTTGTCGGAAACAACCCCACAAGTGCGCGCGAAGTCTTATGTGACTGAGATGGTGCGAAATCCGAAGTCTGCCCCTCGGTACATCTCGGGGCCAGGCCGAGGTCGAGGACTTGAAATTTCTGTCCGTGTCGGACGAGCCTCAGAGGGAGAGAGTGGTACTTGGTGCGGAGTTAATTGTGCAGCCACAGCCCACTCCCTCATCATCTCCACCACCCTGACGCCCCATGGCGGCACCGTCCCTCGCTGAGTCCGACCCCTTTCCCCACTGCCGCTTCCACGGCATGGCACGCTCCGCCATGGCCCCACCCCCAACATTGCCCAAGCCCCCCCCCCCCCGCCCGCCGGTTAATGAGTAGCCAGACGAAAGCCCAACATTCGAGATGTTTCTTTTGGGAGATAAACACGTATGCACACCTTGTCAGACTTCTGGATAGCTGTACTCATGCTTACGAGTTGTTGACCTGAGAAGTGTGAGACCCGCATCATGGTATGCCAGTGTAGTCGGAGTGGTCATGTGTCATGCCAGGTATTAGAAAGCAAGTCATATCTGACCCGAAGCCCCAAAGCCCTGGGGACAGGACTTGTTGAGCTTCCGGTGTGAGGCCCGCTCCACAAATGCCTCAGGGGGGCTTTGGGATTGACCTGTGACCTCAAGCGCTTGAACCTCTTGACTCTTGACTCCCTAGAATTCCTGCCCTCGTCTTCGGCGTGTCCTTTGAGCACAGAATGTGCTCTCCGCACCGCTGTAAATCACAATGCGGCATGGCGTCATACTACCTGTCACTACCTGTGCTCCAGAGGGTGCCGTTCGAGACACGAAGATGTCATGGCACGTCTCCTGCCTCGCTCTCATTGTGCTTGGTAACGAGCCAGAGCTCACCTTTGCCAATCCAGATTCTGCACACTTCCTCTCATGCTTTCGACTTTCAACCCACTGTAAAGCAGCACAACCCAGAAGATCCCCCCCTTGCCATGCCTAAAGTGCAAAAAACGGCTCGAACTCCACTGGGCGTGAGCTCCCCAAGCCTACACCCTTCGAAACCACAACAGTAGGCCTCTGAGCAGCACCTCCCCGATGTCCGAAACCCCGAGGCCCTGATGCAGACTCGGCTTCGGCAGCAGGGGGGTCCAAGGGGTCTCTTTTGGTACCATGGGGCGCTCAAGGTCTCAGGATTTGAGTCTGGGGCTGGGGGTTGCAACGGTGCCCAAAACACAGGGTGTGACGGAAACCTTAATAGCGTGGGCAAGCTGAGAAGAAACGAGTGTGTGCCCCCCCTAAATAGTCCCAATCCAGCTTAAGGGGTTGAGGAGGGCCTACAGAGGCTGTCCATAGAGGCTGTTCAGAGGCTCATCTGGCATGTGGTAATCCAATAACATCCCGTAACTTCCACGGCTGCCAAGGTCATGAGGACACCAAGCTGCTGGTAGACCCGTCATGCCAAGCGACATCACATGACTCATGGAGACTTGAGAGTGACGCCTTGATTGCGTCGATGCGGACGTGTACGGAAGATGCCACGGCGGCTTGCGACTGTCAAAAGAGGGATCGGCGGATGGAGGCGAGGCTGGTTCCCAGAGTTCTACAGTGTCCTACATGGCTGAGGGGCACAAACTGTGTAGCTTCTGCCCCGGAGAGGGTCTCTCCTGAAGGGTCCCGCCTTTGCCCGAGAGGCAAAGAATCAAAGCTCATGAGTAGCAAGAAATGAATGTCTATGCGTAAATAAACAAACAGTAAACAAATTAAGAACCACACACACGCATATATACATATGTAATAATTATAAATGAATAAATATAAATATATATATATATATATATATTTATATATATATTATCATATTATATCATATTATATCATATTATATTAATTATATTATATTATATTATATTATATTATATTATATTATATTATATTATATTATATTATATTATATTATATTATATTATATTATATTACATGTATGTATGTATGTATATGCACATCTGTCTGTCTCACTTTGTCTACGAGTGCGCATATGTGTGCATGCATTCGCTTGTGAGCACGTTACATGCATACCTGGGTGCGGTGCCAAAGCGCATACAGCAGTCGTGCGCACGGCACTAGCAAAAGAAGCCCTGGTATTTCTTTGCGCACAATGCTTTGCTCTCCCAAAACCTCAAAACGCTGAAAGCCCTGACTACAGCCTGCGGGGCTTCACGGGTTTTGGATGGGCTTGGATGGGTTTGGGCAAGATCTTACACGCCTTGCCTTCGACAGCAATGCAGAACAAAACTCAAGCACTCAAAAATACCGAGCTGGAGCACTTCTGTTAACAAGCTCCTCCTGCAGTCCCCCTCTTCCCTTCTTCCGGCTCCTCGGGCCACAACTCGCGCGCGCAGCGATAAATCTCGGTGAGAACACGGAGACCTGGGTCTTTGCCAATGCACGCGGCTTTTTCCAACACATTGAGTCAGGAAGGAGGGTTTGCGTTGCATGGCGTAAGCTTCATCTGGAGCATTGTGCGTGGACAATTGTGGGACGTCTGTCGTGTACGATGTGCACACTTCGCAGGCGACACAACAAAGACCTGGAGCAACAGCTGCACGCAAAAGGTCAATCGGTTCGATTTCTGAATACAGCACTAATAATCACTAATACACCCATGGGCTGCGGCAACGCTCGGCAGAACTAGAAGGGTTGATAGGTGCTGCCGGCACCCTCTCAGTGGGTTGCTGGTGCCTTCGGTTCTGGTTTTCGGGTGCTGGTTGGTGTCGTCCACCCTTGTCGATGCAGTGCTGCGGGCATGCAGCACCCTGAGATAGCCGAAAGGAAAGAGGGCTGATGACAGCCTGACTGACCATGGTGCCCGCTGCAACCGAAACATGACCCTCGAAGCATGCCGAAGACATTGAACCCGGAACTTCCACTGGAAGCTAAGCAATTGCTCGTGGCACGAGTATGTCATTATCATTCCTCCCCATCCACAAGCTCGACTGGCGTCCCGACGCAGCACGGCCGAATCGCAACCTGTCAGCTTCTTCGTAGTTTCGTGCATGTGGCATCACGGTGCCTAGCTGCCTTGCTGCAAGAAACAAAACTTATCGAACGAATCCCGTGGTACCCGAGTCTCTGCAAGCTACACTTTGGAATTGGGCTTGTGGGCGTTGTGCTATGTGCCCTGGGTACCCATGCCTAGCACGAACACAGCTTCAGGACGGGGGTATATTCGCCGTACTGACAACTTCCGAAGTGAACGCGCAGAAGTGCCCATAGTGTGGCAAACCGTGTGCATGAAGGCTTTGGGTCCGGTAGACCTGGGCTTCGGACAGTCTGCGACTTTCAGGTCAAAGTGCCTAGAAGGTGCTCGCCGGGCCTATCCCTTGCAGGAAGGCCGGGCCGTAGTAGATCAGGAATGCAGGCCCTGCCTAGGCGGAAAACGCTGCTCGGGACGCAGGACGGCAAACCACTGGAGAAGTGAATCAGGCAACTGGCAGGTAGGAGTCCAGGCTAGATGACTAGATTGACTAGATGCCGAGAACCTGCCAGGCACCGAAACCTGGCCCCAACCTCCAATCCTGAAGCCAGAGAGCCCTACATCCCGACAGCCCTGGCTAAGTCCAAACCCTAGAGGCACCGGGGAGTAGGAACGTTGCTGTGCTGACATGGGATGATGTGTGGGCCCTTGTAGGGGGGGGTTGGGGGGGGGTATGTGGGGTTTCAGCTTCTGGAAGCACCCGTTTGTCCCAAGCCCAAACTGCCAGGGCTCAGGGACTTGAGTTCGGGGTGGTATTGTAGGGTTTCGGGTTTAGGGGTTCAGAGCTTGAAATTAAGAGCCCTCTGTCGCTCTTGCCCGACGTGCCAGAGGAAGAATTTACGAAAGAACCGTGGGCCGTTGGAAGGCCCAGCTCGAAACAAACCCCGATTAAACCCTTCTTTCCCGCCTATGACGTGCTACCCCCCTTCTTACCCCTTCTTACCCTCTTTTACCCCCTTATTACCCCCCAAATTACCCCCCCCCCCCCCCCCCAAATTACCCCCCCTTTACACCCTTTTGCAGCCATTGCAGCCAGCGGGCCGGCCGCTGGACGACTTGAGCAGGCACCAGTTCCGGTGAGAACGACTGACCTCAGAGCACGCATTCGCCTGAGGACCTATATCGTCCATGGCATCAAAAGCGACTCTCAACTTTCAGTCAACCACACAAGGCTTGTGAGGGCACATCAATCTCAAGATGGCCCGGCGCTGTACAACAAGCACCTACAAGCGCCTACAAGCATCTCACCGGAACATGCGAGCCCATCATCAGACGTCTACCACCAACCCAAGTACCATGTGGACACTCAACGGCCCATCGGTGTGCATTCAACAAGCTATATCCGAGTTAACCTGAGCCTTGTAGCCTTGTACTGTACATCGCTGTCTTAGCCCGGGCAGTGTCTGATTGTGTCTGTGGGGGGGGGGGGGGGGGGGTGCCTGCGCAGCCTGTCCGCGCCATCTCGACGCTGAGCACCTCCTTGTCCTCGCGCCGTTCTGGGCTTTGAAGGGCCGACAAAATCTGGGCTCGAGTCGTTGAATCTGTCTCTGGTCAATCTACCTGCCCTCTTTGCCCCAAGCATCCTCCCAGAACATCCTACACTTGTGAATGCTTCATCGTCGCCCATTCAAAACCTGAAAGAGAGGAGCACACGAAGCCTTCGCGGATGACAGCGCTCAAGTTACGCCTCTCGAACCCCGCCACAAAAGGCTTACAAGAACACCTCGCCTCCTGGGGGAGCTCTTCATTGAAGGCCTCCACGAAGGTGCGCCCATGCGCCTCAGAGCGAGGGTGTACTGCTAAGGTCTAGCACCTAGTCGCAGAAATGAAGCTCGCACATGCTGCCGCAGCGGGATACCATGGCCGTGCCTGCGCCATGCAGAGGAGTCGCATCGCCGCCAAACTGCTGGGACCTGAGGGGTCCATAGCCATGTCGTATCACGCCATGGGGTGGGGTGCTGAGGGCATCATGTGTTGGGACTTTCTTGAGCCCTCCTAGGGCCAACAGGCCCCAAAGTTAATCTTTAAGCGATGTTTCTTGAGTTCAAAGCGCATGCTCCACCTTCAGCCTCCAGAGGGCTCATGCTTTGATATCTGCTCATCAACTGCCAAGTATTTTTCGGAATACTGGCGCCAGAGGATGCATGAGGAGGTGCACACTTGCAACAGTCCTTCGCATGCAGAGCAGCATGAAGTACACTATGAAACTTCGAGCAACTTTTCTGCCGGACCACCAGGAAGACAAACCCCCTGGAAGCCACAAGCCAGTCAGCCATCCAAAACGAGCCGAACAAATGCTTCCACCATTTGGTAATTTCGGAAACCCCAACATTTCCCAGCTGTCAAAACATCCGAACGATCCGGCCGCACAGGGCGCCGCACCCTGCGGAGCATCGCCAAGGGAAGGGACGTGATCCGCCCAACGATACTTGAGATACTTCTCCATGACCTCAATCAGGGACTCAAGGGATGGAGGCTGGGAAGGGAGAGGGGAAGGGGGGGTGGGGGGGGTGGGGGGGGATTAAGCGAACACCAGAGACCCTCGCCGCGCCTGGGTCTCCGTTTGGGACGCGATGCCTTCGATGAACTTGAAGGACTGCAGAAAGCTGTTCAACACCTCAGTGATGCTTCATGCAGGTTTGGGGCTCTCGGCCCGGTGTAAGATGACCCAAGCGAATGTGGCAAAGTCTCCCAAGGCCCCCAGGCGTGCAAGGGGAACTTGATCACAAACTTCTCGCAGCCACCCAGTGGAGTCGGCTCTGCTCCGGCCTCGCGGAGGGGGGTTTAAGGATGTTCGGGGTGTAGAGGGTTTAGGGCTTAGGGTTGAGGTAGTTCGCTTTTTTTCAGGATTCTTTGCTGGTTTACAAGGCTTGATGCGGGCTGTTAAACGGGCTGGCGAAAAGCGTCTGAAGCACACGAAGCTGCAGAGAGATCTGGGATTGGAGTGCCAAACCGCCGTGTGCCCGGCCAGATCTGTGAGCCAATGCACGAAGTAGAGTGCAACATCGGGAGCACCGGCATGAAGCCTGGGAAGGAAATTGGGGGGTTAGGGGGTTAAGGGTGTAGCCGCAAACACAGATGTGTGCCCATCAGGTGCTGATGGATTCGGTACAGTCGAGGGACCGGCTTGACGTATCGTCATGACATGGAAGCTAGTGGACAGTATTGTGCATAGGCTTATGTAACTGCAACCCGTCTCGCCTCCGGTCGGCCGAGATGGCCTGTCGAAACTTCGTGAAGATTGCGCCAGGAGGGGCCTGGCACCGTTCGTGGCCGGGGCTGCTGAGATGTTGGAAGAGGAGTTGAAGGGCCTTTTGAGGGCAACTCTGAAAACTTTGGGCCCACCGAAGAGCCAGTTAGGCTGCTTCGGTTTTTTCCGGGTGAGTAGGGGAAGCGCGCCCCGGAGTTCAGGGGGATTGCATCAGATCATGTGCCCTCCACACGCCATGGACAGAGCTGAGTCATAGCATCGCGTCCGAGGCCAGGCTTGCGTAGAAAGGTTAAGACGGCAGGGTGCAGACTGCAACAGAGAGCCACAACGTAAAGCTGCTGTGTGGTGTTCCGCCGTTGTGGGAGAAGGGTCGTAACTACGATATCTCCCAAAATGTTTTGATGATCTTTTGCACATGCAAGTATGGGGCCCCTTCAACCGCGCCCTCCCTCTCCCTCTTCGAGCTTCGAGCCTCTGCTTGGACCAGCCTGAGGCTTGAAGGACTGTCAAAGCAACCGGTTTGATGCGGGGACGGATAGGGTCCTCCAATTGCGCTGCGCCCACACGCACGCCCCAAGGGGAAGAGGCTTGCAGACCAAGGGAGCTCTCCTACTCCCAAGACATGACCGCCACTGAGAGCCCAGCCAGCCATGGTTGAAGCAAAGGTTGCACCTGACACGCTTTGTTCGCTACACATGCCATGCCCTTGCACCCCAAGCCCTGAGGTCCCAGAGGCCCCAGAGCCTGAGCTTTTTGGAGTCTCATCCCCTAGATGCCAAAGACCTCCCTTTTAAAAAGAAACGCTCCCTCCCTGGACTTCCGCTCTCAGAGCATCTGCTATAGTAGTGTACAGGGATGATTCTCGTAAATTCTAGTAAGGTCTAGTATTACATGAGTTGCATGCAGATGTCTTGTGGTTCTTATGGATCACAAAGATTCAAGAGCTGCACAGAAGTACTGGGATGCCCACTGCGTGAACTGCACCGACTGCCGCTCCGACGCTGAAAGCCTCGACCGCTTTGACAGTTTGGGGTCTCGGAATCGGGTGTGCCGCTACAATTGGTCGCACACTGCTTCTACGCGCAGCAAGAACGCACTCGGAGGTGTCTGCACGCGCGGAAGCTCGCAGCTACGCACGACGAATTGACCTACTGACTCCAGACCACGAAGGCACAAGTCGTGCGTTGCACAACTACTTCTATGCACTCCCACACCGGCCCAGAATCTCTGAGCTGCAGCACTGGCACGGCTGCCACTCATCACCATCACACCCTCACGTCTGCCGTCCCCGTTCGAAGCAGCCAAGCAACTCTTTGAAGCTCGGGAGGAGGTCCGGGTAGTGGTCCTGAAAGAAACATCTCACACATTCCGGACTTCAGGAAGAGGCCAGATGATGTACAAATATGTACAAGATTGTACAAGCCATCCCATCCATGCCCCATTCCCCCTGGTCCATAATGTAGCACAGCGCATGGTCGTGATCGCCAATCACGTCGCCTGCCGCGTAGCCTGGAAGGGCAGCCAAGGCCCTGCCCCACCCTCCCTAGAGGTTCTTCGTAGGGAGAATCGGGGGGGTGGGGTAAGGATGACTAGCGGGGTTCTTCCACCCTGCCCTCCCCCTCAGATGCAATAAGCGCGGGGCCATGGTAACCGTCGTGTTGCGGCTGCACCTTGGAGGAGTGGGGGAGTGGGCAGGGCATGGCAGGGCATCCCACATTGCAGTTGCTGTCACAAGCTTGCCTGCAACAAGTGGTTCATTCTCTAAAGATCTCTTCAGCCCCTGAAGCTCAGGAGTGGCCACAGGGCGAAGCCTTCTCAAGTGGCCTGAGGAGCCCCGAAAGACCCGAAAGGAAGGCTCATGGCCCCCCGAGGCTCTGTCCGTGGGAAGCAGCTTCTCCATCTTCATGATGTCATGGAAGGCTGTCAATGCCTGGGCTCATACCATGAGCAGACCAGCCCATCGAAGCTTCTGAAAGACCGAAGTCAGCACCCCGAGACTTTCCGCACCCCCTTCACACCCACATACTTCGCACAAGATCCACACGTGGAACCCACGTAAGAACCACCCGCTCTGAAGGAAGAAGAAGCTTCGAGAGTTTCACACCCGAGTCTCCCGCGAGCAGAGACACCATCCTCGTCTCGTTGACTTTGAAGGAGTCCCTGTGCGAGAGAGGCGTCAGCTCTTGCGGATGCCGACTCTTGGCGACGTTTTCGTCTCTCTGCACTGGGGCCTTGTTTTCACGTGTCGGGGGGCACACGCTGGCCATCTTTAGGCCTGGGAATTCGGGAGGGCTCCAGGTTTCAGTTGCATTTATCGCGCATCTCGTGGGAACGAACTACGTGCCCCGTGTATGCAATCGGGTTCGCGAACCAGCTTGTCTTAGGTTCGGGACGAAAGCATCTGCAGGAACAGGTGAAATTGAAAGGCTATTCCCTGACCACCAGTTCTTGAGCCCCTGTTTAGTCCAAACCTCAAGCCACACAGGCTATACCCCAAGTAACGGCGCCCCTTCCTACTCTTCGGATCCAGACTCTGCCTAACACCAGGCAGGTCTCGCGCCTTCCCCCGTTGCTCACCGGATCCATCAATCCGGCCTGGGCCGCACCAAAGATTTCGCCCAAGCCGCGGGCTCTAAAGGGGGAAGAGTATGCAGCACTCATATGCGCTCTTTGGATAACGCGTGTTTCGTTGTTAGTTGCTGTACTTGCGGCAGGTCTCTTATGGAAACATGAATAAAATCGGAAAGGCTAGATCTGGTGCTTGGGGAGTCGAGGCACAATCTGCGAGATCGTTTGCAAATTTTGGAACGCAGCAAAGCTGCAGCTCCACATTGCTTTGGTGACTACAGTACTTTGGGAACATCGAGGAAGTGCATTTTTGCTTCTGCAGGGAGTTGGCCAGCTTCTCTGGGTGTCATCAAGGCACGGCAATCGATAACTCACCAGTGGCAATCTCTCATTTTGAGCTGCAGGGGTAGTGGAATCGAGTTCAAGTGGGACCCTAAACCCTAAACCCTAGACCCATCTAGACCCTAAACCCTAGACCCCATTTAAAGAGAGCGTGCAGCTGGCGCGAGAACTCTCCAAAGGCTGATTCCCCCCAAGACCTGGGGGCTCGGCATCCACCATGAGCCTTCGGAAGAAACCCCACCTCGGGGCACAGGCCACCCCCCCCCTCCCCATGAATCTTCGGGCACTTGATAGAAATCTGTTGCGGGATCAAGGTCTCCACTACTACGGAGCTCGGCAGCCAACTCAGCCTTCTTCTTCCGGTTCCGGGTTTTTAGGCTTGTGGTACTTGTGGTTTAGCTGGCCTCCCTACCCAAGAAAGCCGCTTTCCTTGAGCTCCCAGCTGTGCATTGTTGAGGAAGGCCATGCGCCGCTCTTTCTTGTAGAGGCCTGGGGTGAGACTAAAACTAAGAGGGCGGTAGAAGAGATGAACAACCTTCGGGAAACTTGGCATGGTTTTGTGGGTATCGATGAAACAGATGCTACAACTCTACATGTGGTAGCCTCATCGAATTACGTTCGGCCTGCGCGGCCCTCAGCTTCAACTAGAACAGTTGGCATAGGAAAGTCAGCGACATGAACGAGCGCACGAGTTCAGTTTGCGGCATGAAGATCAAACATCAGAGAAGAAGGTAGGCAGGACACGTCGCACTCAGCTTTGGGCTCGCCCTTCAACCACCCACACGTATTGGAATCTCGCTCCATTTTTTTTTTCGCGCGAGCTTCGCGCTTCCTCTCGTTTCGTTGCCAGATTCACCAGAAGCGAGCCAAAAGAACGAGCAAAGGCACGATATGTAAGGCGCCCACACACCTGGAAATGGTTATGCGCTTTGTGTGGTTTGGCTTTTCGACAAAGTCTGCAGAAGGATGACGAAGAAAATGAGACTTAGGGTTTAGCATGAGCCTCTTTCTCCCTCGCTACGAAGTGACATCATCAATGCAAAGAAGGGATCCGCGCACAAAGTGAAAAGACATGCACGCAAAGCCACACCTTTCAGGGCACCCGTTAGAGCTTTGGGTACTTTGGGTTTCGCAGCGCTTCTTGGGTTTACACGTGCTTACCTGCACATACCTGCGCCCTTCCCCAAGCGGGCGCCCCCGCGCTGCTGCAGCTCCAGAGGTGCGGAGCTGCTCTGCACAGCCACCTGCTGCGCAGGGCAAGGCTCTGTAGGAGAGGGCCCCCCCAAAGGCGCGAGGTTCCAGGAAATTGGCTAGCGAGATGGGGGTGTTAAGGATGACTCCATACAAAAACACTCTTCTCCTTGGGCTGCTGAGAGATGAGAAGTCTCCCAGGGGCCATCGTTGGAGGTGTGGGGAAGCGCGCCGGGCCAATTTGCCAAACCAAAGCCCGCGTGCATGAAATGTGGGTCCCTCGCAACTCTTCTGAACACTTTCCTGCAACCTCCGAACAGGCGCAGCACCTGCCCGTCCTGGATCTCGGCCACCTTTCGAGGCGCATCCAGTGATAGAAAGACGAGTCAAAGTTGAATCACATTCGGCCGAAGTGCTAGCTGCTTGCTTGGGACTGAAGCGCAAGAAGCGCATGCATGCAAGTATGCAAAAGCTTCCTCCCCCTCCTGTAAGGTTGCTGGCTGCTTGAGATCTCTGACATGCGCTAACCCCAAACCCTAAACCCAAAGCCCTAAACCCGATGGTGCTTTTTGGCCATCATGCTCGGCTTCTTTGAGGCAGAAGGCGTGTGGGCCTCAAGGACGTTCCAGGTCTCATCCGTTCCGAAGCTGAAGCCTTCTCGGCCCTCGAGGTCCAGGCCTCAAGGATGCCAAGAAGCTCCTTTCGTCCAGGGTTTAGGGTTAGGGTTTGGGGTTTAGGGCTTAGGGTTGCGCTCTGGCTCTCTCCTGGCTATCGAGCCTTCCCCCCGACGTGAGAGAGGCGTGGAAGAAGTGAGAGTAGGATTCATGGTTTCTTCTTCGACAATCTGCTGAAGCTGTGCCAAGAGCCTGAGAACCTTAATAATAATCATAACCATAAAAAAATAAATAATAATAATAGTCATAATAATAATAATAAATAAATAATGATAATAACAATGATTTTATTCTCCTCTTGGGTTGTATATGAACAAAAAGTACTTCCCAAGGGGGATATATCGAGAGCTCTGAGCCATGCTGAGACCTCAGCGCGTCAGCCAGTAGATGGCGAAGAACGCACAAACGGTGCGCTGGTACCTCGCGGAGCTCGGAAGAAGAAGGGTTTGCAGGCAAGGAGCCGCGTCTGAAGCCTTAAAAAAGAGGAGGAGCAAAAGAAAGAGCCCTCAAAACATGCACAGGAGGAGCGCCCCGGAGCCCACACTCCCTGAAACACTTTTCAACTTGAATCCCTTCGAATCACCAAAGAGGCAGCTGACACAACTACTCTGAGTGGAGGCACTCATCATCGGTCGTCCGGCCCGATCCCGTCCCTACTACCTTTGCGGCTTGCAGTGGCTGGCGTTCAGTTTTTGTGGCTACTGGTCCTACACAACAATCTTTGTACAAGTGCCTTAGAGGAACACACCCTTTTTTTCACGGGATCCCAATATCAACTAGACGGGTAGCGAGGCAAACAGCAACAAAGAGTCCACAGGCAGGTCAGGCAGACGTAGAGGGGCGCGTTTGAAAGGCCTTGCTTCCTGCCCCCTAAGCA